GTGTCACCCACCTTCAAATGTATGAAAATGTTACTGTCGATGGTGGTGTCACCCACCTTCAAATGTATGAAAATGTTATTGTCGATGGTGTTGTCACCCATCTTCAATATGCATGAAAAGGTTTCTGTTGACAGTGTTGTTGTCACCCATCTTTAATACGTGTGAAAGTGTTACTGTTGATGGTGGTGTCATACATCTTCAATACATATGTTGCAAAATAACACCATAAATAACCACCTAGCATTTGATAAGAAATTTTCCCATATAAAAAGAAAAAGGTTATCTTTACTCAAATAAAATATCTTTAGAAGTCTGATTTACAAAATGAACCTATCTTGGAACGAATCATGAGATTTTCTGAAAATCCTCTTAAAATTATTATTTTTCATAAATTTTATTACTTTTTCAAATAAACACTACAATTTTCCAGATCGCAAATGATAGGAATGTGTATTTCAAATCTGAACTGCTTCCAATATTTTATCAATTCCTATATTCGAGACGAACAAATCCACATTGATGTGCATCAGACTGATGCCAATTTGTTGAATATCATATTGTATATAACTGTGCTGTTTCAACAGAAATTTACAAATATTTCAAATCTAGTGATTTAAGTGAGCAATATTTTCTCTTAGTGTTCACTTTTAAACTGTAAAACTTTGGTTTAACCAGAAAACAGCAAGCACACATCACATAAGTCCATTTGGAAATACAGATACATATAAATTAGCTTTATTTGGACTCACTAACCAAGGTTTAGGAAGTATTAGTTTAAGTTATTACAAATATTTACCTACACTTCATTTCATACACACTGCTTCAATCATGCAAGACTTTACATGATCTTGAACAGAAATTCAAGATGCGCAAAAATACAATCTTGAGTCAATAAATGAATCCAATACATGAAACTATCACTGTCTACCACATTGAAAAAGTGAAATACAAATACACTTACACATTTATTTTTCAAAACTGGTAGAAACAGTAAAAATATATACAAAGAGAGCTATCCTCCACTAACACACCAGATTCCACTTATTCTTACACTTCATGATCACACAGTCTAATTCTCCAAGATATAGTTTGAGATAAATAACTTTAAGCTTGCACCATTCAAAAACTGAGCATTTGGAAATTGTATTTTTTACAAGTTAACAGAAGTTTCTTGTAAAGAACAACAAAAAAGATGACTAATTTAATATTATATCAGAAAGAAGTGATATTTACTACTGAACTGAAACATTAACTCATAGTAACTACATTACACGTCAATATAATGGTCTCTTAACTTTGTGTTTCAAAATTAATTGCAATTCAACATTTTCTTGGGTCACATCTTATTCATAAAATTACATACACAAAAATATTATTATGCCAATATTAGTAGGAACACCAAATGCAACCAAAAAAGCTATTACAAAAGTATCAAAGTCCCGATCAATTACATTTTTTGTAAAATTCATAAGAAGATTCTCTTTTTTTTCACACATGCACAACACCAAGAATATCATTTGCCGCATACAAATATCTGACTATAAAAATCCTGACGAATGACTGAAAATCCTTGTAAGCTGTGTATTACTTTTGTCTTTTAGATTTTCAAAAATATCCATTTTTATTTATAGTACACAAAATATTGAAAAATTGATTTGTTTGAGGCATAAACATTCAACAAACATTGAAATAAAATTTTCTTCATTGTTAACCTGACTAAACATATTTCTGCTTTGTAAGAGGATCCATAAAATAACAGTTCAGTCAAACAGATTATTACAGGTGTAATGAAGATTTACACATATTCAAAAACAGATTAAGGATATTATCTATAAAATCTATATTGGATTCAGAAATTAATATGAGTTACATTACAGTTTGAGCTTTATACAAACGAAATGAAATAACCGACAACATTCATGGTCAGTGTTCGTCAATGAGTGGTGTAGCATCACCCGCCGGTGTGGACTCCACCATAGGGCTTCCAGATCCATATGGTCCTGCTCCAGGAGTTCTGGGGGTCAGTGCTCTGGATCCCTTGTGATCTTGTTCTTGCCTCTTTTTGGCCCATTGTTCTGCCATTTTTTTCCAGTCTGCAGCAGAAAGGTTGGCTCTAGAAAAATAAAAACAAACACACTTGAATTTGTCTTTGAACAAGTTGTAAATAAGATGGCAGTCATTGTAAAGACAAAACTGTAAACAAAAGGATACATAGCTTCAATGGTTTGGAAAACACTTACTTGGGAGTTGCTCTATGTGCTGGGGTCTGACTTGGATGATGAGGTGTCCAGTTTGACTGGGGTGTCTGAGGGTATCGAGGAGTTGTGGCAGGAATAGAATGAGCTGGCGTGGTAATACCGTGATACGATGGAGTCATCATGGGGGTAGCTATAGGCTGTGATGGAGTATATGGCTATGACAAAGAAAAATAAAAATTATTTCAAACTGCAAAAAGTAGGTTAAAATAGAAGAATGAACAAATTTCCTCTAAGAACAGCTTGAAAATGACAAACAGAAACCTATACAGACTACAATGTCTTGATACTTTTCAACAATGACATACTGATACCTAGATACACTGCAATAACTTGATATTTTATAACAATGACATACAAGTATCTAGACAGACAGTTATATCTTGATACTTTTCAACAATGACAAGCAGAAATCTAGATAGACTGCAATAACTTGATATTTTATAACAATGACATACAAGTATCTAGACAGACAGTTATATCTTGATATTTTTCAACAATGACAAGCAGAAATCTAGATAGACTGCAATAACTTGATATTTTATAACAATGACATACAAGTATCTAGACAGACAGTTATATCTTGATACTTTTCAACAATGACAAGCAGAAATCTAGATAGACTGCAATAACTTGATATTTTATAACAATGACATACAAGTATCTAGACAGACAGTTATATCTTGATACTTTTCAACAATGACATACTGATACCTAGATACACTGCCATTTCTTAACACTTCTCAACAAGATACAAGTACCTATACAGACTACAATGTCTTGATACTTTTCAACAATGACATACAAGTATCTAGATAGACTGCCATGTCTTGATACTTTTCAAGAACAATTTAAATCAGAAATGTTGTTTCACCATACACAACAGTACTGCATATGATAAAATAAATCACATTTATAATATTTATTACTTTATGCTTATGATTAAAAACAAAAAATCATCTAAACTGCCACTTTTCATACTAGATGGCAGTGAAAAAAGTCTACCAGCAATCAGTACTGTATAGTAATGTAGTTACTGAAGAGAATCTGCTGTTATGTAACATGCACATCACAGGATCCTGAATATGGTTGGTTATATCCAATCATCTAATTCATGTTAAATCTATAAGGCTTAATGATTACCTGATAGCCATAACCACCACTAAAACTGGCCCCATAGTTTGAAGTTCCAGAAGGAAATGATGGAGTTTGTCCAGCAACCTGTGACAGCGTGTTAAATAAGGAGTTGGGCAAGTTGGCAGCAGCTCGTTGAATAGCTTGTGGATCCACATCTAGATGAAAGAAAGTGAAACTTTTTAGCTACATTCATTTTACTCACCTTTCCAAAGTTGAAAAATGTAAAACTTTACATAAGAACTCAACCCAACTGCCAATTTTTGGGCTAATATAATGAAAGTGTGGGTTTTGACAGTTATTCTTATAACATATTTATGGCTGATAGGAGGAACTTACGACAACGGAATACAAACCACAGAACCTCACGCTAAACGTTAGGTCACCCCTGGCACAAATTGTATAGTGAAGTATAAATTTTTAACTTAAAAACAACACAAAGGTTTTTGAGTCAAATTAATCAAAATTCTCATTGGTTAGGGCTAAAATTAAAGAGACAGACAATGTAATTACTAAAACCGTGGTACTTACTTGCAAGATTGATGCTTGGGGTGGCCCCTATATAGGATGAGTGGCCCATAGGGGTGCGAGCAGACAACATAGTTCCTGGAGTGCCAGGGATAGGGTCTCTAAAGTGCTCTTTGAACCATTTGAATAGAGAGTTTACAGAATGGAAGACTTGCTGTCGATAGCGAAAGCCGTCAGGATTTACAGTAACATATTCGTGACGAGCCTAAAGGCACAACATAGAGTTGAAAGGGTAAATAAACAACCACGTATTCATGTTTTTAACTAGACATAAAAAAAATACAAATTTGTTTTCTTCAAAGTAATTGTTTTTACTATTAACTTTACGACTATTAATGAGACACAGAAATGTTAAATTTTTTAAGTAACTGCATTAGTTTACTAATGAAGGTTGATAAAACACAAAACATTATATTTACAAGGTTTGAATGTTTTGGAATACACTAATTCCATCTTCAGCAAAATCTGAAAATCATGATAGAAAGATGATTATTAACTATATATATTACACAACAGTTGAGCTTAAGTGTGAAAATTTAGAACAATTTTAGCTTCAAAGAGCTCTGCGAGTCATTAAGAGTCGGCCAGTTTTGAGCTGTGAGTAAACTTTCTTTAATGTAGAGTTCAAGGTCTGAAGATCTATAGTCATAATAGAGAAATCATTAAATGAACTACTGTGACTCGTGGCTTCAGAATGTGAACAAATGGCTGGGTTTAAGTAGTGGATGGTCAGTTCCGTTAGATACTTCTAAATGTTCACACTCTAGTTTTGAAGTGGCATTTTGTTTTGCCAATGTATATTACTTTACAGTCTTAAACTTTGGTTTCCCCATCATTCGAACCTTGTAAATAAAATGTTTTGTGTTTTATCAACAGTCTTCATCTTCATTATTAAACTTTGGTTTCCACATCATCCGAACCTTGTAAATAAAATGTTTTGTGTTTTATCAACAGTCTTCATCTTCATTATTAAACTTTGGTTTCCACATCATTCGAATCTTGTAAATAAAATGTTTTGTGTTTTATCAACAGTCTTCATCTTCATTATTAAACTTTGGTTTCCACATCATCCGAACCTTGTAAATAAAATGTTTTGTGTTTTATCAACAGTCTTCATCTTCATTATTAAACTTTGGTTTCCACATCATGAATCAACTGCATCAGTTATTGAAAATTTGATTGAAAAAAATCTAACTTAAATTGAGATTAGTTACAATTAAATACAAACAATTATAACAGAGGAATTTCCTTTTTTATTTAAAAGACGTTAGATTGTCTATCTTTATTTCTGATGTAACTGCCAGAGTAAGAAGTCTTAAACACTTCTCATCCAAAATTAAGAATTTTAACACTTAAACAGATACTGTAAGAAAATAAAAATTTCTACAAAGAAGAATGGTCAAAAACTGAATAACAAAGAATCTAAGATTAGATCAAGGGTTCTATTGTTTGGTACTTTTACTCGACAGTATTGCTCAAGTATATTTACACTACTTTTGCTCAGCAGTGTGTTACACTCAATACACTGTTGCTTATTTATTCACAGTACTGATTAGGTATGATTATACTACCTTAACTCTAGGGAGGTAAGACAGAAGGAATTTTCCAGGGTAAGCTTTGGAAGCAGAAATCAGGTAGTGGATTTTTGATGGATTTTTCTTCTTCTCTTCTGCAAGCAGCTTCTCCATCATTTCACGTTTACCACCATCAGCTTCTCTGTAATACCTGAAGTTGACTAGGTCTCGAGCAAAGCCAGCCATTGGCTGAATGTGACGGGCAATTATTTCATCCAGATCTTCAAACTCCTGGAAATGAGAAATGAGTATCTAACTTCCTTAACTCTAAAGTGCCCAGATGCGTTGATTCAAAGCACATGTTATATGGTTTGTTTTATTGCATGGAAAATAAAAGTACTAGATGAAATAGTCTGAAACTTCAAAATTACTTTCTATAGGTTGTGCAAGTAAAATATCTTATTATTAGCCCTCTTGTTAAAGATAGGTTAAAGTGTGCATGAGAGTTTACAGAGTTGGATTCAAAATATAAACTATTTATTATTAATGTATACAAATAAGCTTGGCATCATGATGTAATTATTAAATCAAATGTCAATACTATTTAAGTTCTTAATGTTATATAGAAATATTTTTAAAAATCCTAATACAAGTCTCCCCTAATATGAGAATTGTGACATTTGTTCTCTAGGTTTTACCCCTTCTCTAATTCATTTACCACTCCTCACTTAAGTATGGAAATTTATGTAAATTACTCATTATAATATAGATACTACCAAGGCAAAGTCTCATTTTTATAGCCTTCAATTTTATTTGTTTACAGAGTTATAAACTATAAACTCCGACCCACCTGTCACGTCCTATCTTTTACAACTTGTCAATAATAATCTCTGATGTTTTATACTACATCATTTATAACCAATAGAAAGGCAAAGATTTAATGTATTGAATGATCTATTATATCATGTTGTTTTCAGTACTTCATCTTCAGTTTGAAAGTTTCTCTTGTAATGTTCAGATTGACAAGTTTAAGGAATTATTTAAAGGCTCTTATGCCATACTTAGTACTCCAGTTAATTTATGATAGTTACAGGATATTGTTCGCTCTGTGTACGTTAGGTGCATTATATAAGTAAATAAAAATTATTTAGTGCACTAGTACCAAAAGAAAAAGACTAAAGTACTATATTTATTGTTTTTCATGTAATGAAAAAACAATTCTTCATGTGATATGTTCATGAGTAGCTCGTGCATTACATCATTCAATACAGTAAGTTGAAGTATGCATCTGCCAGGTGATTTACAACTTGTGTGACAGGATTGCTAGTCAGACATGGTTCAAAGGGCAATAAAATAAGTATAAATAGATGATTATTGCTATGAGCTTTAAGCTATTTAGGATAACAATTGTGGTTTCCTGTTACAATTTGTTGTCATTTGTCCAATCAACTGACCCTCGAATAGTATCATAATATCTCAAATAACATTTGAAATATAAAGGTTTTCTAAAAAAAAAAGGCAGATATTTATTTAGGTAGTTCTAAGAGATTATGCAAAAGAAATTTTAAATTTTTTTTTTAAAAAAATAACTCTTTTTTTTTTTTTTTTTTTTTTTTTTTCTCCATGTAGAGTTGGTCTATGTGACCAACCTTGTAACCACAATATAGTGA